CGATCCTGGGACTCCAGGATCATGACCTGAGCCGAAGGCAGTCGCTTAACCAACTGAGCCACCCAGGCGCCCCCGAAAAACATTTCTTAAAGCTTTCTTAAATGAGCCTCCCCTTCCCCATCTAGTCGTTGAATACATAATTTTATTTTCCTCACCTTGGAAGTAGTTCTAAAGGGAAAAAAACCACAATCATAAAGTACCAAAAACTATAGGAATACGTGACTTTGTCCAATCAGTCCCAACAGGAAAAAAAGGGGTGTAAACTAGCCTCCTCAAGCCTGCTATCAAGTAGAAGGCAGACGGAGGGTAGGTCTGGACACAGAGATAACACGGTGTTGCCATGGCTGCAGGCATGCTGGTGAAGACAAGAAGTCCTCGGACTGGTAAGCTGACTGGCACTGTGGCAAAAGAGAAGATTTAAACTTCAGTTAAGTACATGTGTTTTAAAAGATTTTGTGGGCCTGACATAAAGGCTATATTGCTTTTGACTTCATTTTTCTTCATTTCTTCAAAATCTTATTTCTCAGTATCCCACACTTTGGGTGGCTACCACCTCCCATCTTTGCAACACACTGCCCTGGTTATCAGCCCCCAGAAACGCTCCTTCACTTCCCTGCTCACCCAGCGTGCATTCCGTGGTCCCCTTGCAAAGACCCTTCACACTCTTGCTCTTCTCTGGCAAAATTCCAACCCTAGTTAAACCCAACTACCCACTTACTCTGAGTCTACACACTTGCAGCCAATCACTGCGGAAGCACTCAACCGAGCCGACTGACTTGCTTCGTATTTGTGATCCCAAATTTCATCAGTGCCAGCCAGTCCCTACAGCACTGGATAGTTCCACTGTAGCTTTGTTTCTCCCACACGCAGACGGTCTCACAATGCCTGTTCTTCCAATTTCCAGCATTCCTGTAAACACACATTCTCAGCTTAGGATCACACCTTATACTTCATTGGGAAACCAGATACAACTGGACATAGACAACCTCATCTTTCCACCACTAAATCCACCAATCTACCTGCATTTGGACCCACTACTCCTGCCTTCAATCCCATGACAAGAAAAGCAGCCTCCTGGATCCTGTCCTTTCGTGTCTACCAAAGGAATTCTGGCCTCCCTTAGCCCCTTTCCTGTAACATGTAATTTTCTCTCTCAAGCTTCTAGAGCACTCACATGCAGAGTTAGTATCACCTATCTTAAAAATTAAAAAAACCTGGGGCACCTGGGTGGCACAGTCAGTTAAATGTCCGACTCTTGGTTTCGGCTCAGATCGTGAGTGATCTCAGGGTATTGAGATCAAGCCCCGTGTCAGGTTCCGTGCTCAACGTGGAGTCTGCTTGAGACTCTCTCTCTCCCTTTGCCCCTCGCCCCTGCTCTCTCTCTAAAATCTTTTAAAAAAATAAAAAATTTAAAAATGTAAAAAACTCTCCCAGATTCGTGCCCCTCCAAGTTTCTGTACCATTACAGCAAAGTTTCTCAAGAGTCATCTATGGTTATGGTCTCTACTTTCTCAGCATCTATTCTCTCTTCAGCTGCCTCCAGTGTAACCTTTGTCCCCACTACTCATTCAGACAGCCCTCATGGGGCAGCTGGCTGGCTCCGTGGGTGGGGCATCAGACTCTTGATCTCAGGGTCATTGAGTTCAAGCCCCACCCTGGGCATGGAGCCTATTTAAGAAAACAACAACAACAAC